TGCTATTTCGTTTGCATACAAAGCTTCCTCTGTTTATCATTCATTAACGTGTGACATGAAAAATGCAGGCATGATTTTCAAAGCCGTTCAGAATTTAACATCTGCTTCCCACAGGAAACTTTGAATACTGCAGCCTCAATTCCTTTACTGAACAGATAGCATTAGAGATGAATTTACTTTATAAGATGCCACTTAAACAGAAAAAAAGAAAAGAACAAAAAATTAAAATTATTAACATCAAAATAATGCTGAGGTAAAATCCTGATGCCAGTGAAAAAGCTTTTCAGTGACTTCAGCACTGCCCGATTTCCACTTCAGTGGCTTAAAATCAAATAAGTAGAAGTTATCACCATAAATGGAGATAAGAAATTAAATATCTCAAGTCTACATCTGGCATCCCTACAAAGAACAGTTATTACCCTGAAGAAAATAATAAAACGTTACAACAAAAACGTAACTGAAAAAAAAGTTACAACTGAAAATGTAACATCATAAAGTTATATCACTAAATAAGGGTATGCATTAGAAAAAGCGCAAAATTTCCAAAAGTCTACAAAAGAAATTGGAATGCATGGCTATTATTTACATATTTTAATAAATTAATACATTATATCATTCTCAGCAGAGTAATTCCTTGTCATCTAGCAAGGAGTTTCACAACAGTCATGTGACTCATTTTTACTGCATCTGGGAAATTCCTCTAACGCAATCTACATGCTAGCAGAGCACACATGCTGGGCACAAAAGGGTATATAAGCAAGATGGATCGCCCAGATCAGGCATCAGTAATCCTCCGGGACAAGAGAGGTCACTGCTCCACAGAACCACAGCTAAACGATCCAGTGAAAACCTCCTGTCTAATCATGAACGGCAAACTTGTGGCTGTCCTGGCTCTTCTCCTGATTTCAGCGGCTATGTCTCAAGGTAAGTAAATCCCTCCCAGGATCCCCACGGCTGTAGTACTGTCTAGGCATCTACTGAGATGCTTGTCCTTGCAGAGAGGTAGCTTTATATTTGTTTCAGCAAATTAGTTTCTTTTGAGAGATTTTCAGCAACTTCTCTTCAGTCAAAAATCTACCACGTAGCCCTTGTATTGAAGAGTTACTGACATCTTGTGGGAAAAATTTTAGGGATGCAACTTAAATTTGCTTTGTTTCTATGTTTCACTTGAAGTGTATGCAGGTAGAGACAGGATCTTCTTCTTAAGTGTTTGAATGTTTCTCTCCCTTCCCCCACAAAGAACAGTTTATGATCTCATATTTGTTACTAAATAATCACAGTGCCTCAAGCAAGTAATATATAGCTGGGAATGGAGAACAAACAATATGAACATAGAAGCATGGACAAGCCTCCAATTAATGAAAAAATCTAGGGTTCTGTCTTCTGTATAGTTGCCAGTTTGTCGATCCAGATATTAAAATGATGCAACAAACCGCACAGTGTGGTCAGTACCAGTAACCACGAAATATGTGGTTTTATTTCAAAAAGATGTGTTAATTTAGTTTTAAATGTACTTGGGCACCAGCTCCTCTAAAACAAATAAGCAACTGATGTTTATACAGTGAGGATTTAGGCAGCTTGGACAAATGCGTTATTTTAATTGAGAATGTTGTTAAAATTGAGCAGTTGTGCTTTATGTCTGATACAATGACGGTTAAGACCACCTCTCAAACCATGATCTTCCTTTTCTGCTCACAGGTAGGGCCCTGGCAAGGATGGGAACCGAGCTCCGGTGCCAGTGCATAGCCACTCATTCAAAGTTCATCCCTCCTAAATCCATTCAAGATGTGAAGCTGACACAGAGTGGCCCCCACTGCAAGAACGTTGAAGTCATGTAAGTAGCTCTGCAAAAGCCTCCCTCTTCTTCCTCTGCAGTCTGCTGCTGCTGCCGCTGCCGCTGCAGGGCCTTTTACGCTTCATGACAAGTATGACAGTTAGCAGGCTGACATGATGTAGTCGGATTTGGTTATTCTTTTGAGAGAGACAGTTTTAAGTAACACATCGTGTTTTTCATCGTCTCTATGACCTTATGTATTCCTGAACTGATCATTATTTATCTGTCATGGGACATATTAAATATTTCTAGTGGTAGAACATGAATTTCAAGGACTGGTCAGTTCTTAATACATGAGGTAATAATGTAGTTTAAATCCTGCAATTATTAGGCAGACAGAACTCCCATTAAAACAGTCTACATCAGTCTCAGAGAGAAAAATTAAGTCCTCACAAGCACATTTAGGGAAACAATGAAACTAAGCTGGTCTTGAATACCATGGAGGAGGGACTAAAATGTTGAAATCCTTATACTGTTGAAACACCTTTTCACCACTGGAGGTTTCAATCATTGTGTAAGAAAGCTTTACTAAAGTAAACAAATTCAAACCAAGTACCCGTATATATTGAGAAAGATTTTTGGGAATGTGTGACTGACTGCTTTGAGAGCAGACACACGCTCACACTCCTTCTGGACGGCTTTAGTCTCCTCAGTTGTGGAACACATATAAAAAAATGGCCAAGTGTAACCTAGAGCAGTTGGGATGAACTCATCTAAAAATGCAGTATTACATTCTGTGAGTAAAACAAATCTATGTAGTAGTTTCCTGACTCTTCTTTATTCCCTGTTTTGCAGAGCTACTCTGAAGGACGGCAGAGAGGTGTGCTTGGAGCCCACTGCTCCCTGGGTACAGCTGATCATAAAGGCAATTTTGGCCAAGTAAGTCCCATTTCCTCTCAGTTTGGGCAGTTGAGTGGCAAACCTCCCAAAAAAGCCAATTTGTAGGATTTCTTAGTGATACTTTCCATTTTCTCTTAACTACATTTAAAGAACAAGGAAACTTGCTGTTTAATTATAGAATTAGTCTTAGTCTTTCTGACTCTGCTGCAGGGTCCTTGTTCAAGCCGATACGTTCACTACTAAACCTTTGAGTACTGGCAACTCCGTCTGGAGGGAAAGGAACACAGAAGTGTTTGGCTCCCTGGGAAAATAAGGCTTTAAAAAAATTCATCTTCCTCTTACTTACAGTAGCATATGTTAACAATTCATATTTCCGAGTTAATGAGTTTCTTGATGCAAGTAAATGCAGAAACTCATGCTGCAGAAGTTTCCTAGCTGGGCACCAGATATGCACACACTGGGATTTCAGTAATCGCTTTCAAAACATCAACTTTATTCTCTCTATGCCTCAAGATAGCACATAGAGTTGGAAACAGACCACTCATCCTTACCTGTTCGTGCAATGCTAAGCAATGATAACCGTTCTTGAACCTCCTTTTAAATTATCCTCTTCCCTCACCTCTTAACAGGGCTCAACTCAATTCTGACTCGCCACTCTAAGAAGCACCAGGACAGAAAAAATCTGGGAACTGCTCCCGTTCCTCCGTTGAGAGAAACATTCAGGAAAAGCATCATTCAGGCAGTGTACCACCTTCCACCTCCTGCATCAGTGTTGTTATGTTAATTATGGATTATTTTATTTATTTATTTATTTATTTGACTGCATCTATTTAAGAAAGTCTTTCAAAATGGTCAGTGTTGCTGTGGGACACGCTGTTCATTGACACTGAAGATGCTGAATAGCAAAAGTGGTTTGCTAAAGGAAATGAAGAACCCTCGGCAGCCACTTCAGCCAAACAGAACTAGATAAGTGCAATGCACTTACAGCACAGCTTATTTACAGTAAGCCTTACTATTTTGCTATTACACCAGCAAACTGGTAAATCCCCTGCTCCCCTGGAGTGCACTAGTATGTTGTGTCAACAACAGTTTCCTGAACCACAGTCAGCCTGTGGCTGAACTGTGAACTGTGATTTCTGACTTTAAAAATCTAACCTACAGAATCTGTAAGACAGTGGCTTTGGTATTTATTTATTGTGATTTCCATGGTATTTATAAATGTATTTATTGAGTAGTTTCTATACAAGAGAGAAAATGATGATAATTTATTTAATTTCTACTGGATTTTCCATTCCTACTATTCATTTCTTAAGAAATATTCACAATCCCATCGCTCTTTCAATCAGCTAATGGAAAAAACTGCATCTTACATACACAGAATTTGCTTGTGAGAGTGTAATTATTCCCAGCAATGTATTATTAAACGTTTTCTATAAAAAATCTGTTTGTTATCTGTCAGTTATTTTACATTTTCATTTCCTTTATTTGGAAACAGTCGTCTGCTTCATTTTGCCACCTCAGCCTGATTTCTGGAACTGAAATGAAAATTTTTAGTACGTAGTACCATAACTCACCCTGTTATGGTAACCTGACATTACTGAATGCAATAACAAACTCTTAGGGTAGGGTAAAATGTTCACTCTCCTTTCTTCAAGCTATTCCCAGTCCTTGGGGACTGGTGGGCTGTAGGGCAAGGCTCCTTATTTAAGTACCTTGCAGACAAGCGAATTTCACCCTCAGATGCCTAAACACTACCAGTGTCCAGATCAGCCCCAGAGTTGTAAATCTTTACTACATCAAAAGGCCACTATTTGACTATCAAAATGGGAATTTGTGACCTTTACTCTGGGTACCCAAATATCAAACATTTGCACTTGTGAAACAACTGCTTCCTATTCTGATCCCTGAAATGAAGAGCGCTGAGTGCACGATGCCTGCCTCTTTTAAAAGGCCCAGCTATTCCTCCCCATCATGCAGAGGCACTGATGCTCAGTGCCTTTGGGAGAGAAGCACTCATACCGCATATGAACACTGAGGAAGGATTCTGGCAGATAAACTGGGATGCTTCATATTGTTCCCACTCCATCTCCTGTCCCATGGGGACTGTGGGAGAGTACAGCCCTCGTGGGTGTAATGCATCTTCCCACAGGACTCCCAGTGCAGTTCATAAGACAGCAGTATAAAACATCCATCCTTAACAATTCTCTGAAATCATCAGCTCAAAGTGCAACGGCGGCCAAATGAAAGCCAGCGACACGTTGGGCATCTTCAGGAAGGGAACTAAGAGACAGAGCGCATAGGTTTAAAGCCTATTGCTTTAAAATATTGTATACCTGTTTATTTGAGGCATGCACACTTTTATTTCACTTTTACCTATGATCTAGATAGTCTTAAAACAGAAGAAGGATTTTTGCCAGGTAACTTTGTGATCATAAAATAAGAGAGCTGTCTTTGGCTCGCTTCTTCTTGAAGACCCTTTGCAGTTAAGACTGATGTCAGTTGCCTCCTGGACCCATATTATTTTGGCATCAGTTTGAGGCGTTCAGCCACTTGAACTCTAAACAATGTGCCCTCTAGCCCTCCAGTTATCAGGCCATGCAGAAGCCATAGGAGAAAAATGCACCCTCTGAAAACATGTAGACTATTTACTAAGTGTCTTTATGTGTGTGTGTGCGCGTGCGTGCACGTGCATGTCTGCGTAACATACCAGAAAGCTGACCAGGCGGTGAGTAAGAGTCAGGACATTTGCACCACAATGAAAGGAAGGACCCTGAGATTTCACTGCAGCTAACTACATGTTCTTGTCCATCTTCTCCTTTTCCCTATCTCATGTAAGCTTCTGCTGCCCTTGGCCACTTCAATTAGCATCTAAATTGCATTTCTACAACCCTGTCAGAAGGTATCAGTACAGGCTGGGGAATGAAGGGGTTGAGAGCACCCCTGCCAAGAAGGACTTGGGGGTACTGGTGGATGGAAAGCCGGACACGAGCCAGCGATGTGCGCTCGCAGCCCAGAAGGCCAACCGTATCCGGGGCTGCATCCAAAGCAGCGCGGCCAGCAGGTCAAGGGAGGGGATTCTGCCCCTCTACTCTGCTCTGGTGAGACCCCACCTGGAGTCCTGCGTCCAGCTCTTGAGCCCTCAGCATAAGACAGACACGGACCTGTCGGAGCGGGTCCAGAAGAGGGCCACAAAAATGATCAGGAGGATGGAACACCTCTCCTATGAAGAAAGGCTGAGAGAGTTGGGGTTGTTCAGCCTGGAGAGGAGAAGTCTTTGGGAAGACCTTATTGCGGCCTTTCAGTTCTTAAAGGGGGCTTATAAAAAGATGGCGGCAGACTTTTTAGCAGGGCCTGTTGCGACAGGACAAGGGGGAATGGCTTTTAACTAAAGGGGGGTAGATTTAGACTAGATATAAGGAAGAAATGTTTTACGCTGAGGGTGGTGAAACACTGGCCCAGGTTGCCCGGAGAGGTGGTGGATGCCCCATCCCTGGAAACATTCCAGGTCAGGTCGGACGGGGCTCTGAGCAACCTGATTTAGTTGAAGACGTCCCTGCCCCATGGCAGGGGGGTTGGACTAGATGACCTTTAGAGGTCTCTTCCAGCCCAAACTATTCTATGATTCTATGTGTATTCATCACCCTCCATTCACTTCTCTATTCCTCTCCTCGCAATTAAATGTAGCCGAGGTGTTTGCATGTCCTTTCTGTCCTCAGCTATTTTCTTGGTCCCTTACTTCACCTTCCTTCCAAACCACTTTCATTTCCTTCGTTCACCAACAATTTCAGTTTGGGGCAAGAGAACAGTAGGAATAACCAAACAACCAAGCAACAACCTTGCATCATTTCCTCATCCCCCTCCCATGGACAGTTGCTGTAGTTCTGCTTTTGTACTGAGAGCCTTTTCAATCACGAACTGTAATTTGTTCCCTCGAGTTTCAATGTTACTGTTCTTATAATACCAAAAGTATATTTCTCTTTAATGTATAAATGCTGCAAACCATAGAGGAAGTCATTGAAAGAAATACTGGAAAGTCCCTGAAAAATACTTTTAACTCTTCCTTAGAAGAATAGAGAATACAAACACTGGTTTGCTGGCCTCCACTTCTCTGTGCTGAATATTGACTAACACAAACATCCTGGTTATGTATCAGGCGACAGATGCCTTATCCATGCTTTACTTGCTTTTGTCAACAGATTGCATCCCATTCTGGAAATGACTGCATTTCTTATGTTGTTATCACATACCATGGGAAAATCCCAGGAAAATTACACATAGCGCTGGCTTGATATTGCAGACTTATTCCAAGCGTTGCATATATTCTTGGTTATAACAGGCTAGCATGAGCGACTCCACAGGAAACAGATCCTTTGGAAATTATACAGACTGCCATGGAAACTTCTGGGTCAGCAAACAGGCATTTTGTTTCTGTGTGCAAAAGTGAAACAAGAATTTTGCCACCTATAAAAATAAGCCTGAGATCTCCGTTGTTGAAAACTATCGTGAAAATTTATTTTCAATATTACCTGCAGTTAATTATTTTTAATAATAACTATTAGTGCCAGTCAGTGCACAGATGACTTCACAATTTATGTGGATTTCTAGAGAGGAAGATGCTATGCATGGAAGAATCTGGAAGGTAGGCTGAGAATTTAAGCACAATTCAGAAATTACAGAAGGAATAAGCTGTTTTCCTTTAGTCAGATCTAATGCTTAGCAAGAGTTCAAGTGCACACTCTGTACTATTACAGCTGCCTACCTACAGCACTTACAATGCATTTTCTTGAAACCCATCGTACTTTTGGCCTGCTCAGCATCTTGTCACAATGACTTCTACCGTTTAATCACACGCTATAAAAGTACATACACCTGGTTGCTGGCAACATGACACATTGAAAGCAATACGATTTTCTCATATTTTCTCTTTTTTTCCCCTAATTCCTTTCTAAATGCTTCCTAAAACCCTAGACGCCTTTTTGACTGCCATAAGACGTTGTACACAGTTCTATAAAAACATCAAACCTGTGACACCCAGATCTATTTCCTCAGTGACAATAGCTAATTTACAATTCCTTCTGTGTATATAGGTAGGTTATAGGCATAACTAGGCTCACTGATACTAAGTTTCATCTGCCCTTTCATGAAACAGGGAGCATTGTGACATCTTTCTACAACTTTCTGCAGGCTGATTTCAACATAGCTATGCTCAATAATTTTGCATCATTGACAAATATCATTTATTTTAAACAATTATCAACCTCTGACAGGTCCAACTATCATATTCCACAAAACTTAAAATTCATGAGGAACATGATCAAATTTTTTGGAAAAAAAAGTTGTACTAGGTTGACCAGATCCCACTTGCCTGTATGTCCACGGACGCAGCCAATGACTCTAGAGGATATGTGAAGTAAGACTTTTCCCTCCAAAGGGCGCACTGGCAACTCCAGTATCAGTCTATCAATTTCTCCTGTTCCTTACTGGAAGATAGGCAAACTGGGGAAAATCTAGTATTTTTTTCTTTTGCAGAGCACTGTTTTTCATACATATACACCTTATAAACATCTGTGGAAATAAGAGGTCATAAGATTGTTTTGAGAGCGCATTTGGACGCAGTTAATCACCTTACCTCCAAATGAGTCTTCCGTTTTTGAGAAGGCAGCAGAAAGAGGAGAGTTAAGTGGCTTTTCTGACTCAGCTAATACAAAATGCCAGAATGCCAGGAATAAAATACCAACTTCCATGACCTTTATTCTGATCCTCAATGGCCATTCCTACGTTTTCTGGTGTACATCAGAATCCAATGCGATTTACGAAGGAAACTTAAAAGTCA